GGGCGTTGAGAATGTCAGGAATAACAGGGAGCACTGAACAGTATGCAGCTGTTGACATAGTCCAGAGGTGGGGAAAGGTGGCTCCTTTATAACTTGCGGACTTCAACTCCCAGAATCCCTGAGCCAGCAAGTTCACAAGCATGGCTGGCTCAGGAATTCTTGGAATTAAAGTCCACAAGTCATAAAAGGGCCATCTGGCCCCACCCCTGTTGTAGACAATGGGCAGTTTTAATGTTTCCCTTAGCTTTGGGTGTGATACGTTTTAACGGCTGAATGGGGGAGTTAGACCTCAAGAAACAGACAGGATGTTGTAGGCTGCCAACCCACGGGAGAGTTTAGTACACGGGATGCAGGTTTCAGGTTGTGTTTGTTTTTCTCACTTTCAACTCCGCTGAACCAAAGAGGAAGGCTTGCACTTTATTTCACCCCAAGTCCTTCCTTCAAACTGAAGCTAGTCACTTCTCTTAGGTTTAAATAATGTGTCCTGGTGTATATTCTCTGACTCATTCTGCTGGGGCTTAGCACAAGCAGTTAATAGGCAACATTTGCATTTGGGATGCATGAAAACGGGATTTAATGTTGCTGTGTACCACAGGGATGCTAAATCAGCCTTTCATTTCACCCTTTAGCAGCCTTATCCTTCTGTTAACATTTTTCCCCCCCTCTCTTTTCAGACGCTATTTGCTGGCTACACCGATAACCTGGTTCGTGTCTGGCAGGTCACTATTGGGACCAGATGAGAGCACAGTTGTTGACCCTCAAGGCATAAACTATTATGTACAAAACATTCAATTAAAAAGAAATAAGGATTTGTGTGCTGGAAGTGACATGCTTTTAATAGGGAACTTAATATCCAACATTTATTTCCTTTTCCCCTGCAGAAGTAGGTTCTTATTTTTTTTTTTTGGACTGATCCTCATTGTATTCTGGAAGATCCGAAGGATGAGTAGGGACAGATCATCATGGAGGACATTTATGTCTTCCCCAAGAGTTGATGCTGACTTGATGGCATATAATCACTGTATTAATGTTTGCTTGAATGAGGCTTTGTATTCACTGTTGCAGTTGTCCTAAAAGGTGCGAATGGTAAAACGAGATCTGCCCATTTTGTATATGAATTGTGGTTTCTTACACACACATTCTTAACACACATACAAAAAGGGTGACACTTATTTCAAGATAATCATTTTGCCGCTGTATAAAAGTGTTGGGATTCTACAGACACCTATTCACCATTGTTATCCCTTCCGTTGGGGAAACAGTCTTCAAATCTTTTAAAGTGTCCAAGCTAATATGAAAAGTTCAACAAAATAAATGAATGTGAGTAGCAGCAGTTTAAAAGGGGCAAGGACTCCATTTATTCCTTTAGTTTAATTCCTTTATTTGGGGCAACTGAATGGAACTGAGCATTTACTGGCCAGATGCCTTTCCTGATGCCTATGCGGAGTTCACAGCAGTTTATTTTGTGTTTGCGCCCTGAGAAATATCTACTGCTGCCTAGGACTGAACTCTCAACCTTCCAAGTAGGAGGTGAGCATCTTCACCTCTAGGCCACCATACTACTCTCGATGCTAATTAGGAAATGTCTATTACAGTGGATAAGTGGACAAGTAGCCTTGATTTTTCTAGACATGCCCCCACAGTTTCAGTGCTTTTAAAAGCAATTGCATTTCTGAGAAGATACATCCTAAGGGCTTTGGTGCACTTTTCCTCCAGGGTGCTTTCTTTCATAGAGCAGAGGGCCTCCTACAATAACTGCTATTCCTACTTACCCTGCGAAAGAGAAGTAACATCTATGCCTGCTGAAAGAGGAGAAGGCTGCTTCCATAGCAGATAGTGTTCAGAACTCCACTACTTTCCTCACTTCCAACAATGGCTGGGACCTATTGGATCAGGGGTGTCAAACTCAAGGCCCATGGGCTGAATCCAGCACGTAGGGTGCTTAGATTTGACATGCTAGGACGCCCTGGAAACTGGCACCCATGGTGCCCCTGCCAGTGAATACAGCACGGGAGAGCCATACGTGCCCCCTCCCCCCTGCTGAAGCTTTGTTTTCACTAACGGCTGCAGGAGGCCATCCTGGCTGAAAATGGCCGCGGGGAGCACGTGGCTTCCCCAATCAGTTTTTGCTGGCAGAGGGTTAGAAAAACAACAAAAGGGAGAAATATTTCCCCTTTTGCATTTGAGCATGCCAGAAAGGACAGGAAAGAGGAGGAAAGACAAAAAGATGGGAAGAGAACAAGGAAAGAAAGCTAAGGAAAGGGGAAGGGAAAAAAAAGAGAAGGGAAATGATGTGAGGGAGGGTCTGAGGGAAGCCCTGCCTTAGCACTTGGCCACCACAGGTGCCCCCCTTGACACAAGTGACATTGAACTGGCCGTGTCCCCCCCCCCCCCCCCGCAACCCATGAGGTCAAACAACCCTGATGCTGCCCGCAGTGGAGTTTGACATTCCTGAATTAGATGAAATGGATGATGTCGCCTAGAAAACCAATTTCAGAGAGCCCACAGTTCAAATGTGAGCTACAAGTGTTCTGTCAAGTGTTAGCAGCATGACTACTATTGTGAGACTACCCAGGAGCAAAACAGGACACAGGCTTTGTCTTTTAACAGTGGTTTATCTACAAGACTGCTATATACATACATATACATGTTAGGCACATACCAGGCAAGCATTACTCTGCACTGAGAACTACAATGGAGATAGAACGGAAGAAGAGAGATACATCCTCTCATGGCTGCCCTTATATAGACGGCTTCTTAAAGTGGCAATAACCCTTCTGACCCAACCTCAGTCTTAAAGTGGCAATACCCTGCTGACTCATTCTCATTGCATCAGCATTTACAACGATCTGTCAATTATTAAATCTATGTTACATTCTATTAGATGAAATCTAGTAAACCTTGGGTAATCACAAAATTAGGGTTGGCACTGGCTAAGTACCAGGATGATACAAAGTGGTAAGCTTACAATACAAGTTGAAAAAAACCACTGCAGAAGGTAGCAGTAGCAAATCTTGTGTATTAAACAAGAAAATTGTGAGAGACTATAAGGGAATCAGGCTTGACTTGATGGAGTCTACTGGTGGGTGGAGAGGATGCATAGATAATTTGATATGGGATTTCCCTTTTTCCCCCATCATTTTCTATAGCTGGAGTCGGATCCTGGTTTAATTGAACCAAGCAACCCTCACTGACCTGGAGTCAGGCTTGTAGAATCCCTTCAAATGCCCAAGAACCCTCCAGTTCCTCCCATGCAGGCAGTTTCTCTAAGGAAAATGCCAGAACCAGAACGCTGGCTACTTGCTATGGTGCCATCTGATGGCCACCCCAGTGCAGGCCACTCCAGAGTAGTGCTCAAGTTTACCAGTCCCAGATGAGTATGGGCGAGGGTAATGAAATTAGTAGCAGCTCACTTCCATTATGAGGGAGAGCCAGGTCCTGATTCTTCAAGAGGGCCCATATTATCATGAAATTAAGGAATTCCAAGGGGTGTTTTGTAAATGTGAACAAAACATTCACTAGCAAGTCTTCCCAAAAGGCTACTTCAAAGGCTCCCTGGGGTTGTCTTGAAAACATGGGAAGAGAAAACACTTGCACTGAAATTGCCAGTGAGCCAAAAAAGTATGCAAAAAGCCTTTGGGGCAATTGCTGAAAGAACATTGGAATAACTACAATGCGGTGACAAAGGACCTATCAGTTTGGCTTCTGTTCTATTTTTCACCTATGCAGTTCTCTGCACTTATGTGAAACTAGGGAAGTGAGTCCTCTTTCCACATAGGAGCAGGTGGGAGAATTTTCCATTATAGAAAACCTTCATGATAAGCGCATGTTCCAATCCTTTTTTTTAAAAAAAAAAAGCTCATAATGGTGATATGAATAACTCAATTAGATTTAGAATGTGAGTTTTGAACTTAATACACTGTCCAACATATCAAAAAGTGTGATGGCTTTCCTTAAAGAGATTTACTGTGAGGCAACCTCACACTGATTGTAACACAGTAAACAACTGTGTGCATTTTGAGATTCGCACATTCAATGAGTGGATGGGGTTTACACATAGACTAGAAATAAGGAGGAATTTCCTGACAGGACAATCAAATCAATGGAGCAGCTTGCCTCTCAGAGTAGTTTTCAAGAAAACGTTGGACAACCATTTGTCCAGGATGGAGTAAGGACTCCTACCTTGGGCAGGAGGTTGGATGGAAGGCCTCTAGTCCTATGACTCTTACAGATGTTTTGCTCACTGCAATTGAAAATTATTTGCCCTTGTCTGAGATCTGCCCAGCAAGCGAATGATCGATCATGTTGCCCTACATATAGTAGGATTCTATTTTAGACATTAGTTTAACGGAAACTACTGGATCGTGTAGTCCTTCCAGAAGAATATTCTAAGAATTCTTCATATCATTACAAAGCAACAACCCTGAACTGCTTTATGAAATAGCTTCAAAGAATCTTCTCCTTTTCAATATTCAAATAAACCACAACAGCAAAGCTTTTAACATGTAATCATTTATTACTTTATTTCTCAACCTTTCCCCAAAAAACTAGATTTCCTTTAATATGTTTAGCAAAAAATAGTTCAGAAGCAGCTCTGTCAAGCCGAAAGAATTTAAAAAAAACCACATATGGCTGGAATAGCTAAAGCCTTCAGGAGTGAAGATTCCAGAGTGAAGGCTAGAACTAATGAATGACTAAAATAAGTTATTTAAAAGCAGATGGTGGGAAAATAGAGGAAGAGAGGATGAGAAAGACAGCAATAGTGGGATCTTAGCATCCGATGGGATAGCACACACATCTACAACCATGACTGACATTCAACAGCTCAACAGCACTTGGTACTGTCATTGCTCCAAATGGCCAGCATATGACATTTTAGAATAGATAAATGGCAGAAGAGATAGAAAAGAGCATCAAAGATTAAGAGACATTTCAAATGGAACATCACATGAAACCAGTGTAAAGAAGTACATGAGACAGAACTTGCAATTCTTTTTTTAAAATGGTTATTAGAAATTGCAAAAACAGGAAATCAGAATAAAGGCATTGGAGCAATTAAAGAAGGAATAATAGCGTTAGGAATCTGTTAAAATATTTCCATATTGTTGCTTTAAAATGCAAAGCTATTGTGATGGCTACACGAATCCAGGCTCTGGTGACAGCAACACAGATTAACATTGGGGCTGTTCGTTTTCCAGATGTTACTGGAGCACAACCTGTATCCTTCAACATAGGCTATGATTGTTGGGGCTCTTAGAAACTGTCATTCAGTACCATATGGAGAACCACATGTTCCTCATCCCAGCTTAAAGCATGGACTTTGATCAAACCCCAAGAACATATTGGAACAGTCATCTTGTCTGATCAGAAGAATTCAAAACAGAGAAAAATTACCACACATAGGTCTATATTTTGTTTAAGTTGTCAAAGCCTGACTAGAAAGTATCTTCAGAAAAGTCAAGAAGTAGTTTTGGATTGTTAAACCCAAGTCAAAAAGCTATGGCAGGTCCCACCAACCTTATAATTGCATGCTCATAAAGGTCTAATTTATCTTCTGAAGGTCAGGGTCTCGGCCATCTAAAGATGAGAATAGTATAATCAGCTGACGTGTGATTCTATCACAAAGGAATAAGGAAAGAGAAAGAGAGAGCACTTTTTTTTGCTAAAATGGATCTGGACCATAAGCAAAATAAAATCAGATCCATGACCTGGTCAAGCACCAGAGTAGAACTGTGCAAAACTGAACTCATCAACGGGAAGAATCTCTGTCAAAAGGAATCCGAAATAAGAGCTCGATAAGGAATCCATCAAAGTCCAAGGATGAAGAGAAACTCTTATCAGGCATAATTAGGTGGGGGGATGGGAGGACTGGGATGAAGCAGAGGCCTCAAGGGATAAATTCAGCTATGTGCAACAACTGCAATCGCATCAATTGCAGATTTTTATGCGGGTCCCCTTAGAAAGAATGCGGAAAAAGGGGAAGATGCGCTCGCGAAATGAAGCATTGAAGGTGTGAATATGAGCCATGTTTTCAGCATTGTAGAATCCTAGCTGGCCTCGTTCATAGTCCAGGTAGACACAAAAGCGCCGTAATTTCTCAGCCGGGGAAAGGCATGTCTGCTCAGTGGTAGTCAAGGCCTGGTACTTCTTACCATTGGTTCCTATACACCAGATCTCCCGTTTCTGGTGGGAACCACTGCTGGATTTCTCTTTTCGGCGGGCCGATTCGCGGGCTGCCCCTACAGCCCACCCTCGCCGGCCACCCACCTCCACTTCCCAGTAGTGGCGACCATGCATAAAGCCCTGCACGGCCAACACACAGTAGTCGGAATCGAAGCGCTTTGGGTTATCTGGCAGATCCTGCCAACGTTCCCCAAGTCGGACGCTGCGAGAGTCTGAGGAAAGTATGAGCCGTGGATGAGCTGTTTCAGGGTCCAGAGTCAAATCCACTGTAAGAGGAAAAAAAAAAAAAGAGCAAAATGGTTTAAGTAGGGAATAAGTTGTCTAGTTTGAAGATAAGTGGATTTCAACTCCCCAAATTCCCCAGCCAGCATTTGCCAAATTTGAGAAACGTTCATCTATTTGCACTCTTGCAAATCATCAGGGTAGAAGTCTAAAAACAAAAGGCTTTCACAGCATGAATTATATGAATCGCTATTTCTGCAGAGTTTCAATCCTCTTCTAATGACATTTTTACAATAAATAAATTCTTAGCTTCCATTGCACAGTGGATGTATACATGTGTCAATTCTCTTAGATCCCTATTGGGACACTGCCATTTTGGCTGGGGGCGGGGTGGGGGGTGGGGGAAGGAAACCTGGATACTCCTTTACAAACCTCTTGTTTCTGGTTTTCCTATCACTTTGATGTACTTGCTTGGGAAAGGGAGGGGGAAGGATTGGCCCATGAGTTTTGTCTCAGCTCCGAAAGAACGGGCAGAGCGGTGGCTGAGAACAGCTTCTCATCACCTTTGGATTGGCTCGCCTCAGACTGGACATAGGGGAGGGGTTTTCTGCAACTTGTAACCTAACAGTTCTAAGCAGGAACTTCAGATCCTGCTTTGCTTTACTTGCTATTAACTTTTTCTCAATAAAACTTTCATTTTGAAATAATGCCTGTTTGAAGAGCTCTGCTTTCTTGAAGAGAGAGGAAAGGCAAATCCTCACAACATGGCTAGGAGCATATGTACTTTTCTTTGCATTTCTAACTGCAGGAGAAAAGCAGTTCAGTTACCTCCTTACCTTGAGGTGCTTTGTTAAAGACCTTCTCCATCTTCCTCATTAAAACATCTATAAGGAAGTAGTTCTGGTATTTCTTTCCTGTGTCCACTGGCACCATCTCTGGATCTTGGAATGTGATATTCTCACACCTGACAAAGGGCCATCCAGAGAGCAGACATGTAAGACGAGATAAATGGTAACCAGCAAGAAAAGCATTGAATAAGAAGAACAGAAAATACAACATACTGGGACCTGATAAGTCTGTTCCTAGGCTAATTCTGCTGCGACAGCAGTACTTCTCTTTTTGGGTAAGTTCTCCATATTATTTTCACAGTGAAATGGAGAAGAAGCACGGAGATTAATTCATTAAAATGGGAGCAGGAGAATAATAGAAAAGAAACATGGGGAAGATTTATTGGCCTTCATGAAATCTATTTGCAGTATTAGAGTCAAACCCTGTCCACAGCTTGGAGTTCAATCCTGACTGGGCTTAAAGCCTTCAGCCATCCAAGGCTGGTCAAATGAAGACCCAGATTGTTGGGAGAAATATGCTGACACTGTAAATCCCCCCACTCATTCAAGAGAGTGCTGTAAAGAATTATGGGGTGGTAGATAGGTCTAAGCACCTTTATGATTGCTATCGCTACAAGATCAAGCCATTCTGGACACATGGATATTGAAGATTTTTCACTGGACCTACTTATTCTGTTCCCAATAAGAGTCAGAAAGGACTGTGATCAGCTGATTAGTAGGCTATGGTCAGGTGTACCACATTAACAGACGAACCACTTTGCCACAAATATCACCCTTGACCACAATAAGAGAGTGGTACTGAAATACTGCAATTCCCTTGGACCCTAGATTAGCTAGGCATTCTCTGGCTGGTCCATATGTATAGAAAAGATATTAACTGAACAGGTTTCCAGTAAATATTCTAACAAAATCTTTGAAAAGCCAGAGTTTTAAATTAACTTTGCTAATGTTTTGATATAGTCTAATAGTTGCAGCAGTAAAATAATTATAGCTGCATGTTACCCCTTATACTATCTTTCGAGCAGAAACTAGTAAGATACCCTCACACCCACTTTTCCCCCATGGCCATGCATAAATAAATGGATCCAAGTTTCCCAGGCAAACTGCTATACATGCATTAACCAACCTCATTGATATTTAACTTCAAACAAGTTGATCAATCCCAGGTTTTCATACCATTTTTTGAGGTGTGTGTCTTCCTGTTGATGGACAATTAGTAAAAAGCCCTCAACTAATACTAAACTCAAACCAAGAGACAAGACAATATGATGAGATTTCCAAATATTCTGAAGTATTCAGCCTGTCATTTGCAGAATTGGCTCAAAGGTATTTGTGAAAAGCCATTAAATTCTAAAGAGACTTTCAGATACAACCTGGCTAACAGGGAAGCACAAATTTCAGGAATGTAAACCAGAAATAACCAAAAGAAATTCAACCAACCTGACTAAAGTGCCTTTGAAATCCTAGGGGGAAAAAAGAAGAAAAAAGGTTACATACTTTGATGTTATAAAACACAACAAATAGATTGAAAGAAGACAATCAATTTTCTGTACAATTTCCTGTGGACTTTTTCGGGAAAGCATTTTCTTGCTTTTTGGGGGGACGGGGGTGATTTCATGGGTTTCCAAATAGTGTGTCTGTTGTGATTTGTTGTTGTGTTTGTTGTCAAAAAAGCTTTCCTTGAAGAAATACTACTTGTCAGGCTTCCTGACTTGAATGTGACAGACACTACCCAGATCCTTCACACTGTATGGCTAAAATATATTGCACATCAGAATGATCCACTCAAAACAGGTGATTCCCTCCTTAGTATGAAATTGCTGTCCTCTCATAGAACTTTGTCATTGAACCAGCAATAACAGCATACCCCTCCCATCCAGTGCCCTTTCTGAAGGCATTAATTTTTTTTATATTACCCGCAGTATTAACCTTGACCTTAACATTGCTTGATAGCATATTTTTGTTCCAGTGATCTGAAGTGGAATGGTTTTTGGTTTTTTCACTCCAGGTGTATTCTACAGTATAGGTTTTGTTTATTTAAAATATTTGTATAGCTGTTCATCCTAAATCAAATTCTGGGTGGCTTATAATCAAACATAAAACAACATGTACATAATGGAAACAAAAAAGAATAAAACCAACCATCAAAAAAAAAATAAAAAAGAAAAACTTGTTACTGCCATACTTCCCTGATGCAACCCACATGGTATCTTCCATTTTAACCTCACACTATCCCAACACTTGGGAAACAGCCATGTCTTAAGTGCTCTCCTTATGATATATATTAATTTTAAAAACTGTGGATTTGAGGATTTTTTTTTAAACTTTATATGCCGTCTTTGGTGAGAGGATAAGTATATAAATTATTTAAATAAATATCTCCTGAGAATTTCTCTTTCCACCTTTCCTAAGCTTAACAGATACCTAACTCAGTGCTTCTCATAGTGCTCAGAGGCAGTATACTGTTGACACAATCAGCATTCCTGCCCTCCCCTAGGAAACTACACTGTGAGCATCATTTAAAAGCTTTATGAACTTCTTATAAGTATTAATCAGTAAATCATGATCCAGTCAGTCTTTCCTTCTTTCTCTCTATGGCTGCTCATCTCAAATTGGGCAGCTGACAAGATGAAAAGAAAGAACAAGAGACAAGAAGAACAGAAAAACACACAGAAGCAGCAGACAGGATAAAAAGAAACTCAAATAATAAATCAGCATAATAAATGCATAGGCTCAGTTACACCTCTGGACCCCCATTTCTTTAAGGCCTTATGGAAGGCCAAGAGGATCCACAAAAATATCTTTGTGGCTCTCAACTCACTTCTGCTACCAGAACCACTCCAGCTTTGGAAAAGCAGCTTACCTGCTCTCTGAATTAGCATGGAAATGATTTTTTGTTATCTCCCACATTTAATAGCTCTCACCAACCTGTTTTAATTCAAATACAAATCTAAAAAATGCCATTTCTACACGTGTGTAATACCATCCAAATCATACAAACGAATGTGTGTGACATCTAATTCAATGCAATGATCCGAACAGGTTTCCAAATTTTAGTTCTGTCCAGTTGAACAGAATATTTGTCCAATCCCTTTCCAAAGTGAATATCTGAATAACTACAAACCCCAAATAGCTAGCAATAATGGAAGTGGGACATCTTTGGAAAAGAAACTACTCTCACTGCTACCTTTAGCAAACTGTGAAAAGCAGCCTGAAATCAGACTGCCAAAATTCAGCTGTCCAATGTCAATAATGCAATCTGAGGGTTCTAAGTTCGAAATCTACTCTCCAAGACTGTCAAGGCTCAATTTCAACATTGCTGTTCTTTAGGTATGTCTTTTAGATAATTGCTATGCTCTCGTATTCTACCATCAGGATGGTTAAAATCATACTTGACTTAGACAACAAGCCCAGACAGCTTTTAAAGCAGTGTATATTCCACAGGGGGAGCTTTTATTTTTAACAGATCAAGCAACCCAAGGCGTACATCTTCGTTTGTTCTTAATCATTATAATTATAACAGGCAGTTATGCTTGGGACCAGTCACAAAAAGGAATCCGGGCAACTGGGGAAAAAGATTTTACCTTGAGCATCTGCAGACCATCTTGCTTACTCTTGTCTTCTGCTTCCGCAATAAGACGGCTTAGTGCAGCACCTTGCTCCTCCAGGTGAGAGATGTTGCGACTCTGGCTTGCTACTAGTATGTCATAGCGATCTTCCAACTGGTGAAGCAGCATGGCTTGCTCTCCAACCAGGAATTGATGCAGCCGCTCAAAGTCCGACTCAAACTCTTTCATGTCAAGTTTCATCTTGTTCTGGGGCAGATGAAGAAACAAGAAGGCAACACTGAGAGGGTACACAGCCAAGATTTGGGATTATGTCACTTTATGGCACAGAACATGAAATCTATGTCAGCTGATTTAGCAGGCAGCAGGACTAGACAATCCTGTCTAGTTTATAAACAGCGATCATAGCAATCTGTACAACAGGAAGATGCCATATCTGTGCTTGTCTAGGATGGAAAGACAGAAAACCTTTTCCCACTTCCAAACTCATGCTTGAGGCAAAATCACAAGGAATACATTGAATTTATTGAATTTACCAAAATCCTTTCTCTGAGTCAACATAAATGTATGACTGTTTTAAAATTAAAAAAATGTTTTAAAAACATAAAACAATTCCAATCGTTATAGTTTACAAGGAAAAAAATAAAAATGACTTCCTGCAACGAAAGAGAGCTCTGCTGATTTCAACTATTTTCTTAGGCAGAACCTGAAATTCTACTTAACATCACCTCTGTTTAGATCATGAGAAACTAGAAGACGAGACCAATTTTAATACTGATAGACCCATATACCCTCAGACTGAGTCTCGGTGGCGCAGTGGTTAGAGTGCAGTACTGCAAGCTACTTCTGCTGCAGCCAGCTGCCTGCAATTTGGCAGATCGAATCTCACCAGGCTCAAGGTTGACTCAAACTTCTATCCTTCTGAGGTGGACAAAATGAGGTCCCAAATTGTTGGGGGCAATATGCTGACTCTCTAAACCGCTTAGAGAGGGCTTTAAAGCAGTATAAGCGGTATATAAGTGCTATTGCTATTGCTAATATCGGTAGATCCTCTGAGATATATTTAGAATAGGATTGCACAATTCTCATGACTGGCAGATAAAGCCATCTATATACCTTATAGTTAAAACCAGGCCTCTAAAATGCAGATCAAATCCTTGTCATGTCAGTTAAGAATCTGGGATTTCTACTTCTCTAAATCCTTGACTTCAGGATAATCCCAAAGGAATCATTTTCTTAATGCAAAGACAACCATCCGCTCTTAAGACCAAGACATTTCCTCTTCACCAAGATTATTAATAAAAACATACACTGAGAATAAGGTGATCCTTCAAACAAGAGACTGACGGGAAATATAAGAGAATTAAGGGAATATTGAAGTTACCCTGATATCTGTTATCTTCTCCTCTTCATTTGACTTCTGCTTCAGAACTGACTCCAGTTTCCTTTTCAGTGGATCCAAGTGACCCTGGAGTTTAGCCTAAAAACAACCAGAAAAATAATGCCACAACTTAATTGTATTTATGTTTTACATTCATAAAAACAGCAGCTGGCATAAACTTTTTTGAAGTTCAGATCCAATGTTCAGAGAAATAAGGATTGAATCTTCATGTCCTGGTAACATAATTACCACACCGTATTTGGATACCTCTGGTGCAAACAGATTTCCTGTTTTTACAATACAGCTTCTACAAAATCCCATCTCTCTCTTGAATGACCTAAGTTTGTAGCTTCTATAGTTAAAGGGGAAAATGAAGTATATACTGCTTTTGACAGAAAATTACATGGCAATAACTAAGAGAATTTTTACTGAGTATCTTTTACTGAACTATTTATATATTTGCATAAGCACATCACCCAGGGGTTTTTCTGTAGGCAAAGCAGGGACTCTATACTAGTATGCCACTAATGTTTGTCAAAGCCTCGCAAAATTTATAGTACTATAAACACTTTTATAACACAGAAGATTAACAAGATTACATACTAGCATTTAAATCATCTGGTTATATTCCAAACCTTATATTCTTGCACAACTTCCTCCAGTGGCGTAACACTGTGGTATTTATGGGTTTGTGACTCTCTGCACACTACACAGATGGGCTCGTCATCTGCCTCACAAAAGAACTTAAGTGGCTCCTGGTGTTTCTCACACAGGGCTCTTGGAGCATGACTTGCAGCTAAAGTAGATGGCACCCCTGACGAATCCCCTGCTGCTGCCATCTCCACCACGTGAGCTGACGAAATGACGGGCTTCAGTGGTTGTGGATGCATCTGTCGGATGATCTGCACCATATTGGCCAGCTGAAGATTGGGTCGGAAATTGCGATGAGGAAAAGTTTTGCGGCACTGAGGGCAAGTGAAAGACTGCCGCTGCGGAGTAGGCGGAGTTGTCGGCACTGTATATTCCGCCATCTCTTCTGGCTCTTCATCCATTACTTCCTCGTCCTCATCATAATTATCAAAAAACAAATCACTCCCCATAGTAGCATTCCATATGTCCTGGTCCCAGTACTCTCTGTCATCATCGTCCCAGGCATCTTCATCTTCATCATCGTACTCGTCCCTGGATACATCATCCTCTTCTTCCTCATCGCCCATATCTCCGTCATCTAGATAATCATTGTCCTCCAGATCGTTGTCGTCGTAATCCCCGTCTTCCTCAGGCCCCAGGTCATCGATCCCCCCATCATCCTCATCCTCAGCCCCTTCTGAGCCAGAGGCTCCTGGGTCGTCGCCTTCTTCGTCACGCGAACCCCAAAGCTGAGTGATGCACACGCGGCAAAAGTTGTGGCCGCATCCAATGGACACCGGGTCTAAGAAGTAATCCAGGCAGATGGCACAGACGGCTTCCTCGTGGAGGGTCGCCACAGGGTTCAGCGGGGCCCCGGAGCCCCCCGCAGGTACTGCGGCTGCCATGAGACCTGTACGCCGCGGCCGACTAGACGCGCCGACAGGCCGAGTGCTTCCCTCGGCCCTACCAGGACTTCCAGTCCCTTCCCTGCTTGCCCGCTGCCGGGAAGTTCCCTCCCCAAAGATACCCGGGAGGAGAAGGCGGCGTACCCGCCCGCTTCTCTTCGCCCCCCGCAGCCCGCTCGGCCAACTCCGGAATCGGCCGGTACTGCGAGGCCTCCTCCCTGCTCCCGCAAGAGCTCGCGCTCGCGCCCTCCTCCTCCTCCTCCTCTTCCTCTTCCTCCTCCTCCTCGCTCGCTCGCCCTCAAGAGTCACAACGGCCGGAGCCAGGCTGACAGACAATCCCCCCTCCACCCGACCGAACGAACTCTACCAAACTATCACTCTCCCCCTCCCCAGCTCGCTCACACCGGAACTGAAAGGGAAAGCCCGAGAGGCGTTCTAGACCGCCTCTGGCTCCTCTCTCTATGGTACGGTGACGCTTCGTCGGGGGTCCCTAACGAACGCGCCGGACTGCGTTTCGCGTGCGAGATCTGCCTGCCGCCCCCGTTGAGTTTCCGCGGCCCGCAGCTGGGCGGAAGGCCAAGGACGCGCGCTTTAAACGAGCCCAATGGAAGCACAAAACGATTTTGACATCCCCGACGTTTCCATGTCGGACGTCGCTATGATCACACGCCGGAAGATCCGGCTTTAAAAAGGTTTCCGACAAATGCACCGGAAATCTGGGTGCGCTCTGTATTATTATTTTCGTCTCTATGATTGCGGAGGGTTCCACTTTCGAGAGAGAGAGAGAGAGAAAGTAGCGCGTGAAGAAAGGGGGCCTGTTACTTTCGAACCCCCTAAAATGTTCTTGCAATTGCTAGTAGTTATTACGCTTTTGTTCCGTTTCTCCTCCTCCTCCTTCTTCTTCGTCCTCCTCTTTTTCTTCGTCTCCGCCTTTTTCTTCGGCCTCCTCCCCCTCTTCTTTTACCTCCTTCCAGTTTTAAGTTTCCGAATAAAGGTTTATCTTTGGGTTCCAGATTTATGTTTGACTTTTAAGGACAACTTTGTTTTATCTAAATACTTGGTTTTCCCTAATCCTAGAACAAGTCATTTAGCGAATAAGAGGTAATTACATCTCCTTAAAGTTGTAGCATGTGACAACAAAGCAAAAATGGAAGGTGAGGAAGAAAACAAGGAAGAGGAATTTAGGTGGCAAAATCTTTCTCTTTTTAACATTTCATCTCCCTTTTTCGAACAAGACACGCATATGTGCTATGAAATTAATGTTGACTCAACATAAATAGTTCATATGGAGGCAGATCTGACCATTATTATGAATAAAAATGGAAATAAAGCATATTTTAGTAATATGTACAACAACCTTGGCATGATGCCTTTCAATGTTTCAAGTTGAAGGAACAAAATTGTCTCACTCGTTACAAATTACATAGTATTAATATATCTGAATATTGTTCCAAGGGGTATTAAGAACATAATACCGTTCTACACAAATATAGATGGCAGAACCATGATATATAGGACTTACGACCACAATTGAGCCCAACATTTCTATTGCTGATATATTTGTTAAGTGAGGTTTGCCCCATTTTATGACATTTCTTGCCACCATTGTTAAGTGAATCATTGCAGTTGTTAAGTTAGTAACATGGTTGTTAAATGAATCTAGGTTTCACATTGAGTTGGTTTGTGACAAGGTCACAAAAGGGGAATCACATGACCCTGGGATATTGCAGCCATTGTTAATATGAACCAGTTGTCAAGCATCTGAATTTTGATCATGTGACAGGATGCTGCAACAGTTGTAAGTATGAAAAACAGTCATGTCATTTTTTTCAGTTCTGGTGTCATTTTGAATGATCACTAAACAAATTGTCAAGGACTATTTGTATGTGCATTTGTATGTCTAACATATTTTTTGCCGTTTCAGGAGGAAAAATGGCATTTTAATTTTATTAATTAATTATTCCCTCTTATGTATCTTAAGCCCAGGGGATATAAGTCCCATATAAATAGACACACAGTCAATTTATGAAAAGGCTCTTTATAAATCACTGTTCTACTAATACTGCCTATTTTAACCTATTTTACACATGCATTTTAGACTTGAATATTACAATATTAATTATTCTACTGCATTTATTGTATTGGAAATACATCAGTGCCCAATTAAGTCTGTAAATAGAGTAAAAAAATAAAATGGAACTGAGCACTCTGATCCTACAGAAATAGGCATGCTGCCAGAGAAAAGCAATAGCTTGTTTAGATACGATGGAATAAAACAGACTGCTATTTTTCGACCTTCTATCTGCATGAAACTATTGACTCCAGTTCTGGGAGCCCAGTCTAGATGAGGCGCAGCAACTTTGCTAGCTTCGGTAAGAACCCCCTGTATTTGATACAGTACTTGTGGATACCTGCAGATTTTATTGGAGACTTAATAAAGATGATAATAGCCTCCGAATTCCATCTCGGCTGCTACTTCCCGGAATTGATTTGCAGGATACTTTAAAAAATATCTATCGATTCGCTCTGGGAATTGACTACAATTACAAGAAAACAGAAAACATTTTGCAAACGTCTTAGTTCCAGCACTAAAGTGTTGTAGGTTATAGGGGAAGGGCAGAAAGCAGCGAGTTTCTGTAGTGTAGTGGTTATCACGTTCGCCTCACACGCGAAAGGTCCCCGGTTCGAAACCGGGCAGAAACAGCTACCTTCTTTTTACTTTTACTTATTTAACTTTTTACATAATCTTAAAAAAACAATACAGTACTTCGGATGTCTATACAATAATGGAAACTTTTCTTTTCCATAATGTATACAATGAAGAATGGTAATTCAGAGCAAAGTGCTCCAATAGTTTTATGCTGCATCCTAAACTTAAAAGCAATTTTCCAAACAAGGCAATATTGGTTAAGATTCATATCATCTATCGAGACAGTAATATTATGGTAGTAGTACAGTAATAAGTACAGTATAGTACAATATGATAATAGAACAAACACTGAAACATAGAATGCATACATTTTAGTTTAGGTAAAACTTTGGAAAGGTTATCTTTCAACAGCCCGGCTAGCTCAGTCGGTAGAGCATGAGACTCTTAATCTCAGGGTCGTGGGTTCGAGCCCCACGTTGGGCGCAGTAATTTTTTTTTCTTTTTGTTCTTCATTTTACTTTTTGGAAGCAAAATACTATAAATGAACGCTGTAGTTCTTTATTTTTCCAAAGGGCTAGGTAGGTCGATCATTTGCACCTCCAGCAACAACGGTAGGAGTAAAGGAGATAAGGAGATCATTATGAGTGTTTTCTTTATCATATTTTGTTTTTCTTCACTTTTCCATTCTGCCCTGAGCACAACTCATTATAATATGCTTAGGACATGTATTTAATCTTGTTTCACCGTTTTCCAACAGTTTTTTTTTAATCCTTGTGCAAGCCTCAGCTCTGGAAGATAGTCCCAAATGCTCCAAACATGTGCACATGGGACAAGAACAGATCATGCAACATTACTTTCTACTTTTCAGCCTCAAGATGCACAAAAATCTTATTATAAACAGCTCGCATCAAGTTGAGATACAGAGCTCTAGAGTAATCTTCCTTAAAACTGGATCCTACAGGTTTTGGATCTATTCCATTTTGCTAACCAAATAAATAACTTTATCGAGGTATGGTTGTTGATTTTTCCTTGGATGTCATGTTCAAAAGATGATGAAAATAATTACTAGGAGACATTTAGCATAAACGTTCACAGCAGAGGAACTTTGAAAGGAAAAGATATTTAAGATCATGTCTTATTTCTTTTTATGCTTTGTCCTATTTTTGAAAGTGAATTTTTAGGCCTCATAATACTAGAGCTCAGTGCTGAAACTTTTTTCTTTCACAAGATTCCCTTCAGAGGCTGGAAAACCGTTCACCTATACACAAGTTCACACAGCCCATTGCAATAAATGTATAAATACAGTGTAAGTACACCACATTGACACACACCCACACACACACTTTGGACACACATTATGCGAAGACCCAAATTTTGGGAGCGGGTTCTGATGCTGGAAAAGGTGGAAAGAAAGAGGAGAAGAAGATGACCAGCAACAAGGCAGATAAACATGATAATAAGTGCACCAGATTAGATTTAGATTTTTATGGAGACAATCTATCTACCAGTATGTGGTTGCTAGGAGTCAAAAACAACTGAATGGCACACAATGTGTGGATGGGTGGGTGTGGGAGAGAGAGAGAGAGAGACAGAGACAGAGAGACAGAAAGAAATGGAGAGAGAAATGGAGGGGAGAGCGCTAATCACAATGTTTTATTAATTTTTTCACAGAAAATGTTACTGTTCTGTACTAAGGAATATTTAAAGGTTATGTATCAAACAAATAAGGCAGTGTTTAAAAGGAAATGCCAGATATGTTTTTAACTTTGTTCTTATTTATGCTTTTCTAGACTAACATGTTTTTATTGTAAGCTGCCCAAAGCGACTCGGGTGACAAGGGCCATATAGAAATGTGATGAATTTCATACTTTATATACTGTGGAACATTGTTTATAAGACTTCACTTTTGATACACACTGAATATACATAAAATATACCTAAAGAAAAAAATTAACATTATTATTAAATATGCTTTTATTTCAATATTGTTTCCCCGCACTGTCTTTTATTTATTTTTAAAGTTATTGGCATTCCTCGTTTAAAAAAGGCAAACTGTTGTATGCTGAAGCTGAAAAGTTTAGAAATTTTCCAAATGACTGTAAGGAAGATTCTCTTAAGTTATAAGGCGGCTTGGGAGGGCGGGGGGGGCGGAAGGGAGGGAAGATCTGACGTGCCAGTCTTGCAGCGTTTGGGGGAGCGGCTTGCTGAGATGGGGGCTCGGATTTTTGTCCCCAAGTTCCCATCACTATCCTCCTCCTCCCTCCAATAGGATGTCTAATATTAGGATATCCCATCCCCGCAAAGCACGATGCCGTAGTGGGTGCGCTCGCTTAGTAAGCGGCCAACGCAGAACTACACTACCCAGAGAGCATCCCGTTTCTTCGCTCTCCAGACTACATTTTCCATCATGCTTCTCGGGACAACACAAAAGGCCGCAAGAATTTGGACGGAAAGTGACTCTGAGATGGGCATCGGCGTTCCGGCGCTGCGGCTTACAGCCGCCTCGGGATTGAAAGTTCGCTAAAACGGGGAGCCTCGCTTGGGCATGGAGCCCGGTAAGTTCCTGCGATGAGCTAGAGGAAGGAAGGGGCCTGGACAACTTTCCGAGTGCCTTCCGAGGAAATGGGGTGCCCAGAAAGAGGTGATTATAGAGCATTGCGCTGGCCGTTGCCTTATTGATTGGGTGGCTTCTAGGCTGTGTGGACGAATGCAGAAAAGATTTAAAACCTGGGGAAAGAGTATGAGACCTATCGGGTAGAATCTTTTCTTTGTACTGTACCTTTTCATTGCTCACTTTTCCATTTCAGACAAAATAGAATCGGAGTTAGAAGAGCGTTTCCCATGAATTTTGGTCCTTTAATTTTTAATTTGGATGAAGTCATCCTTTATTAAATTTCTGTGGCCGTTTATCTCACATATCTGACTTTCAGCATCATACAATAAAACAATCAAATAATATAATGATTTAAAAAATTAAAACAGTTAAAACACAGGTATAAATAAGACTAGGAGTTTGGACCTA